AGAAGGAAGCAGAAATGAAGCTGAGGGCAAACAAACCCCCGCCCACAGCTGTCTGCCCTGGGCTGTGTACCGGCCCACCATCTTCCACCTGGGACAAACAAAAACCCTTAATCTCTTAATGTCAAGACGATGTTGGGAAACACAGCAGAAATCCCATAATCCTCTCGACATTGCATGGGACGCGGAGTCCAACAATCATTTCTAAAACGATGAAACGTCAGGCGTCACTGTCTCTGTATGAGGTCTGCGTGTGTGGATCTGCAGACGCTCTGATTGGATCAAAACACTCCTGACCTTTTGTTCGCCACTGTGTCTTTTTTCAGTTGATGGATTTGAATGTGGACCCGTCTGTTGTGCGACCTGTGGAATGAATGTGTGTGTGTGTGTGTGTGAAGCTGGTAGGCAGTTTGCATTTGACAAGCTTAGGCCTGTTAGCTGAGGCAGAGATTCAGAGGTATGTGACAGACCTGTGGGCTGGATGGAACACACACACACACACACACACACACAGAGTTCCATACAGCTTGTTGGGACAGGGAGAGGAATGCTGGCCGCAGTATTTCTCATGTGTTGGTGATTCTTATTTCATTTTTTCAGTTCTATATTCCCTCGGACCGTGACATGTTGTTATCCACCTTCCCATCACCGTCTGCTGACATCATTCAGATTCCATTCAGATCACATTTCGTTTTATCACATTCATAAATTCCCGCATCTCAAATCAACTGTAACTTGTCATCCTGGTCCCAACGTTTAGCCTTTATGGCTAACTTTAAGCTTCTAGTTTTTCCTTGAACACTAATAATTTCGACATTGTGTTTTGTTATTGTCTAATTTGTAGTTTTTGCTAACTTTAGACTTTTTTTATTATTATTATATATGGGCTAGTGATGAGCTATTGCATGACTAACTTTTGAGTTGTATTTTTGCCAATTTCCTGGTTAACTGTTAGCCTCTTCTTGCACACATTTATCATTTCCTTATTTTTGCTGATTCTCAGAAGAATAAACAATCTGTGGAATGTAAATGACACGCCGAGACGTTTGACTGTGGACAGTACAGACACACAGTCTCCTACAGACAACCTACAGAGCCTGTAAACCAAAGTAAACAATGAAACAGACGCCGTGGACAAGCTCACGAGAAAACACCTTTGCAATCCCACATTCAACTCAAATGTTTCGTGATAAAGTGATAAAAACACAACGAAGCAAGCGACACCTGATGTAATGTTATAATCACAGTGATGGTTTTTTAAAATTTCCCGATCACCTGACACTAGAAACGGTCAAAACTCCCACAAATCCAACATCAGTCCACCTCAACTCAACAGAAATGATTTTGATTTTTTTTCTTCTCTGTATTTACTCTCTCGTCTTGGGTCAACGTTTGTTTCTGTCTGAACGCCATCCCAGCGTTTACGAAGTGAGGATCTGAGGAATCTGAGTGCAAACAAGGATGCTGAGCTCTCTGTGTACAACTATGTAAATACATGTAAACAGGGGACTTGTGTTAGCCAGGGAGGGGGGGTGGGAGGGGGGGGGTAGGTCTGCAGGTCAAGTGACAGACCCTTCTCCACTCTGTTCCTCGCAGCCACACCAGCCGTGTTATTACCTGGACACAGCCCGTAACCTGAACCAGGAAGCTGATTTGAATAGTGCTGGAGGGATTTATCAGATGGGGGGCAGAGGGTGAGGTGACTCCTGAATGGATCACATGAATGGGGGGCATGTAGTAGGGGGGGGTGTGTATTGGCAGACGGGCATGTTGTGGCCTGCCCTGCTGTCGTTGTGCACCTGCTAGGGAACCAGGAAGTGTCACTGGTGCAGCAGTTAGGATGATGAAGGAGGATGTGATGTCACAGATGGACAAACAGGGACCAGGGCGACTGTAGGGCGACTAAATATATTTTCCCAGGAATTACTGCAGTATATAAGTAAAAGTTAAGATCTTAGTGAGGCTAACTGAAATTAGCTCAGTTGCTAAAATTAGCTCCAGTTGGGCACAGACACCCTCACAAATCTAGCCAAAAGAGCTGAAGTTAAGACAGCTAAATATTAAGACAACGTTGAGGATAGAAAAGTATCTTAAATGACAGGAATACTGGGACCACTGTGAGAATAAAAAACAAGTTGAAATTTACGAGGATTCAAGGTTTATGGCAGTTTTTCTATCATTTTTCATTTATTTTTAGATTTGTTCCCATTACCATTAAAGTTTCAAATCTATTCAAAATAGCTGAAGTGAGCAGCTGTTAAAGGAAAAAAAACAAAAGCAACCTAAACTGAACACAAAGTCAAAAACTGCGCGGCAACCAGTCGTCACATCAGCTGACCTTTTGACCTTGAACACAGAGCCGTTCACTCAGCAGATTGAACCGGAGCCTTTTTTAAAGGCCGTCCAGTCACAGTGCAGTCGGCCAGTTAACAACAGTTGGACAGTTAACGACAGTCGGACAGTTAACAACAGTCGGCCAGTTAACGACAGTCAGCCGGGCCTCTCGTCTCAGTCCCAGCCTCCTGTGTTTTTACTCCCGCAGCCTTTGAAGGCCCAGAGTGTGTTTACAGAAGCAGATAAGCTTTTATCTTCTGAAATTGGAGCGTGCCATTTGGGCGCTTATCTCCACTAACAATGGCTACCTGCTCGTGTCATATATTGACCAAATTGCCCCCTGGATTGCGTTTGCGGTCAACGCTGCAGTCTGTAGCACATGATAATCTGAGGTGTGACGTTGTCTTCACAGCTGACTACAAGGAGAGCTTCAACACCATCGGGAACATTGAGGAAATCGCCTACAACGCCATCTCCTTCACCTGGGACGTCAACGAAGAGGCCAAGGTACATGTACACAAACGTCACACTTGTCATTTTCCCAGAGACTGGTTCAGGCGTGGAGGTGTGGTCCAGAGACTGAGAGAAGCCGTGGGACTGGTTTCTTTTGTGCTGATTCACTTGTTGGCAAACAAACGTCTCTCTTCGCAAATCGAACACGTCTTGACTGTGACGCGAGCTCCGGGTCTGTGTGATACTG